GCATAGAGGATTGTGGTTCGAAAATAAAACCATAAGAAAGAGAAGGAAAAGCTGCATCAAAAGCATGTTAATGCTCATGCAGGTCTTTGTTGTGCGTGGTCTTATGGTGGTTTGAAACCGATAAAACTTTCGAAACAACCTAATATTATTAAATTGTTAATTTTTTTTATTTTCACGATATAGTAGAAATTTCGAAAATTCTTCTAATATATCGTGCGTGGTGCTTGCTCAACACAATTTTTAGAATCGGAAAAATACTTTGTACCGTAATCTATTCTCGGGTACGGAGAGCGTAACAAGGAGTTAGCTTCGACCAGTTGAGCTCTCTGATCATATCTATCTGCTACTGTGCAGGACAGTTCTGGGCAATGTGCAAACAGGACTCGGCACGAGCTGGTACCAGAAAGTTTTCAAAGAAGTCCCCCTTGAGTTTTGGGAATTTTTACGAAGTCCCCTTTGATCCTCAACGATATCCCCTCTAAAATCCTAAAAAACCCGCCAAAAACGAAACGTCGACTAAAAAAAAGGTCGCCGTCGCCAATCTTGCGTATATCTTCGCCCACAAAAACGAAACCCCCTTTGCTTTTTGCCCCAAAAACGATATCCGGCTTGCCCCGTGCCAGCTGGTGCCAGACCCTGTGTGCAAAGGACCTTTCCATTTTAACTGGCTGAGACCCCCATACAGGGCCCGTCACGTTCTGGCTTCGAGCATTCCTAAAAGGGAAGTCCCTCACGACGGCGCACAATTAAATCGAAGTCTTCTTGATTATGGAATACGATAGAGGCTACAAAAATCGAATAGATCAAGAAAGTAAGCGTTTGTTGCAGAACGGCACTCAATGACAAAAGTTCCAGCAAGAAAATATTTGACAAAAGTTTACTCTAACTTATTGAAGTCACAACAAAAACTATAGCAGAAACAATCTTCTTTCTGCGCTTTACCTGCAACAGCATATCTTATCTATAAAGCTGAATGTGTGTATGTATGTCTGTCTGTACGTATGTGCGGAATAGCAATTTTTATTTCTGAACCGATTTGGACCAAACTTGGCACACTTACACTTCGGGGCAGGGAGCGTGTCATAGGCTACTTTTCGTTATCGATCGATATCGATTTTATCGATTTTTTGCAAAATTTGAGCTACGCGGCTGGGAGTTGGCACAGGGGGGTAATCGAGCATGCTGATTACGAATATAATAATGACAGGGCCGGGCGGAGCCGGGTTTGCCAGCTAGTCGTCCATAAGAGGGATGACTTCTTATTTCATCCCTACAATCCCTAAACATTCGCGTGAGTTGACGCGAACCTTATTATGGTTTACTATTTTAGATCCACTTATATGGCTAAAAAAGTTAGTGAGGCAATGGTTTGTCTAATCTCTCCACTAACTAGACCCGAGTCTTAAATTTACTTGAATTTTCAAACGCTCAACAGTCCGTGCCAGAAAGGATCAATTATGTAAATTCTCAGAACTTCATGCTCCGAGCCAACCCGGTTAGTTTGGTGATGATTGAGAAACTATCATGCCAAGGATGGATACTACGAAAAAAAGTTTCCGAAACCTTTCACAAATTATGTTTGGAAGTGATTTTCTGTACATCCAAATTTGGTGCCATGTGATCAGCTGTGCGCTGTATACAAGCTATTTATTCATTGCAACATGATTTTGAATTTTGCGCGCTTGTGAGGAAGAACACGACGGAGCATGTCAGTCATGTACCCCAACTTGATGGTGAAGCAGTTGAGCACGTCTGGAGTACATGTTTATTCATGTTTAGCATGTTCTACGATATCGTCTTCACTGTCGGCCCCAAACTTCAGTATCTCTGTGCTAGGGCTTACCCCACACCGCACATCTATCGTAAGCCACTAGAGTCCATTTTCTGAGTATCGTGCCAAATAACACCCTGGACCGGTCGTCTATTCACAAACGAATCCACTTGGTTAGCCTACCACGGTCCAACTAAGCTAGCGGAGTCAGCCCCCCATTGGGGAGGCTAGGTTGATGTTGATGAATACGGCCACATTCAAACAAGTCTGTAATCTTGACTAATCGCTTAGTCTCTACTTATCCCCACAAGATAGCCTTACTAGACCTAAGTACGAAAGTTCAGCACTTCGATAACCCCATAACCGAAATCGATGCGTAATTTTGATTTCCCACTACAAAGGTAAACTTATTTGCAGCTACGGAGGGGGGGGGGGGGGAGGGGGGGGGGAAGAAAGATGTGCGCAGCTCCAAGTCGAGAAGATTTTTCCATGGGATTGGATATCGTCCCACCAGCTTGTGTTGGCGTTGTCTCAATCAATCTGTTACAAACCATGCAAGTGTAGGGAGGGCAAGTAAGGCGACAGAATGTGCAGAACGCAGGGAGCTCAAAGCCCGTAATTCACAACTTTGCGCCATTTTTTTATGGCGTCGAATTATGTGGCCCTGACCCGCTTGTTTTTGCCACTAAGGCGCTTTACACAAGGGGGGGGTGGAGGACTATATGTCGCCGAATTTGGAAGAGTCCCGCGCGGATTCCCTGCAGGAACGCATGTCCGCGCATGTACAAGGGTGCTGTTTGTCGCAAATGACCGCGAGGACCGCCCTTTTTCGGCGACATATAGTCCTCTACCCCACAAGGGGTTCTTTGGGTACAGTAAGTTTCGACCCGCAGGCGGAAATTGAATGGCGGCCGTCCGCCTCGCAACGGTTCGCGCCGTTTCGCAGCTACAGCATACCATGTCGCGCTGGGAACCCAAGTCTACGTCTCTTCATTCTCCTCGGTCTTTCCTTGGCAAAATGCCAGCGCCATGCGCTCGCGAAGCCTCCAGCGATGCGCACGCGCTGCTCCACGTAAAATGTTTCGCCTAATCCGGGGTGAAATCCGACTGTACAAGGGATTGGGTTTGTCTCCTAACGCCCTACACCCACTTGTAGGTGGAACCGTATCAATACCAACATCGCGACAAAGTTGCTAGCTACGGACCCTGAAGCGTGTGAGGACCCACCACTAAGTCTAAGGCCTAAGGCATACCTCCCGCGATTTCAGTCGCGGCGCGATTTCCAGCTCGGACATTAGTTCCGAGTCCGCCGCGCCGGCACGCCTAACAGTGTGGTCCCGCCGCATTTGTGTTAGACTGACGCCGCGACGAATTGCGGGCCATTTTTGGACGGGCGTACTTTCGCCAACGATACTTTCGCGATATCGTTGGAATTGAGCGATGTCGCGTCGCTGGTGCTGCACCAGCGACGGGGCATATCGCGCGAATTGCTTCTTCTTTGTGGAAAGTTTTGCTTTTTTTTTTGCAAATGCGAGTATCATTTAGGACTGTTCCGTCTCAAACATTCGCTTCCTCTCTACATGAGAGAAGGTTGCTCATCGAGCATTCCATACTATTAATCCTTGAAAACAACATAAGCGAAACGTATAGTATGGAATGCTTCCCATAGTCACCTCACCCTTTTTGTTAGCATTCATTGTTCTCGCAATGCGCTAATTCTACTGTTCGTGTTCAAACAACAAGTAAATGATGATAAAATCTTGAATGTTTTCGCCATAATTCCTGAAGTAGAGTAGATGTGCAATCTTGGTTGTTTAAGCATGTATGTATGATCGCAAATTGGCAGACAGGAGCTCGCGCAGCACTCATTGTTAAATTACGCCTAATCAAAGTCTTTTACAGAGCCGAAAGCGTGGAATTTCTGTTACGAAGCTAACGTATACTACCGGTGACTGAAAGAGTGAACTCAAAACTTTATGAACTGAAGTCGATTTCGCAGATGTTCACTTGCGCCGGTACAAAAACCTTGGTAAATACGAAGATGAGTGTTCCATGTCCTTGTTTGTCTGCTGTAATGTTCTCTGAAAGCATATGGTGCCACGTTCTGTTCAAACTTTCTTGAAAAAATGCATTCAGACAAACTAGCGCAAATTTTCCAAAAGTGCGTAAAATGCGGTGTGGTGTGTGAGCGTTTACAAAATCGCAAGAGGTATGGCCTGCGAGCGAGCGATAAGCGATTTCTATGCAATGATCCGTCGCCCAGGCAGCCGATTCGCAGCGACCAAAAATCGTGACGACGGTGTCACGACGAGGTATGCCTTAGGCCTAACCGCGTTTAATGTTTCGCTTTTATTGAGTCTTGTTTTATGTTTTCTGGTTTGTCAGTACTTCTTGTATGCTTGGTGCAGAATTTTCTTCATCTCAATGGTTCATAAGCGCTGCAATCACTATACTTGGCTATGAGAGAGAATCGTAAAGCCTAGGGCAGAGTTTACGCGATTTGATCGTCGCGATTCAATCGCTAAGGCCTAAGGCATACCTCACGCGATTTTAGTCGCCGCGCGATTTGGCACTGCAACGACTCTCCATAGCTGGTCGTAAACGCACTTTGCTTGGGCCAGACTTGCTGTGTTTGTTACAATTCACGGAATCTATGCATCCATGCATCTGTGATCGCATCGCATGCTTAATCTCTAGACATCTGGCAATTCGCCAAGTCGCGAGGATGTGGCTATTTCGCGAAATCGCGAGGGGTATGCCTTAGGCCTAAAGAAAAGTGCCAATCTTCTCGCATTTCGGTTGTGATAGTTTTCCAGCACGACTCATGACTAACTATCACAACCGAAATGCAAGAAGATCGGCATGCAATGAGCTCGTAGGCCCCGGACAGACTTCACGCGATTTGATAGTGCGATTGAATCGCAACAAGACAACTGTTACAACATCATTCCATGCCGATCAACTTGCATTCGGTTGTGATACTTTTCCAACCCGAAAATTTTGAATGTAAAATGAAAATGAATGGAAATCTCGGCGATTGAATCGCGACGATCAAATCGCGTGAAGTCTGTCCGGGGCCGTAACACTTGTCTTGTAGCGATTGAATCGCGACGATCAAATCGCGTGACCTCTGCCCGAAGCCTAAGGAAGTGTTTTTTTCTATTTCACCGACTGTTTGCGACGTTCATTTCCTTACTCGTATTTCTTCTCTTCTGTTGAATCTCACGATATTGAAGACCAACAGAGCGATCATCTGCGGATATGGCCACAGGCATTCCCAATATTCTAGAAGGAGATGGAGTTGTACGTGGAGTATCTGAGGAAGGTAAACTTCGTCTATAAGTATTTCATGCCAGCGATCGCATAATTTCTGTTATTTTAGCTACAAGGATTGTATAGAGAGGAAGTGCGGCAAGGGGCCGAAGATTGCGGAAGATTGTATCTAGAGTTGCAATTTTCTCTTTCATTCAGTCGGTCCAGTCTCGTGCAGAAGTATCTGTAGCTATAATTTCGCAACTTCGTAGAGAGCGCTCGGTTTTAGATACAATTGCGCGAGTCGTTCATGACATGTGTGTATTTGCACAAAACAGCCGTACTTCCGTCAAATCCTGGATCCCATTTTGCATGCATCTTCTAAACAGCTTTCAAGTGTAATTAGGTTAGCTCCTCCATAATGTGCTTTTAGATAAAAGTGGAAACTGTGGTCGCAGCAATCAAAGAAGCGATACCAATACGAACTTCTCCATAATAGATGAGGTTAGAGCATTAGTCTCTTCAGGTACTAACCCTTAGCCATTGTCTCTTAGAGTTTGCTAGTACACGAAGGAAAGTTCTCAGCATGTGATGTCGAGGCACTCGAAGGATTTAGCAGTGACAATGACTACGATCTTTCCGTAAGTTGTCTCATGGTAATATTGTACTTCCATTCCGTTTTCTTCTCGCTCTTCCATGTATCATTGAAGTTTGCAATATATTTTCGGTATTCTCATTAGAAATTGTGAGAAAACATGTTTTTGAAATTTATACTCATCATAGAGTCATTTGTGACTTGTGTGCGTATTGCAACCATGCGCCCTACTTGACAACTTCTAAGATTAGAACCTGCTCATTTCTAGTGATTTCTTCTTGTTTCCTCGTCTCTTTTGGTTTGCTATAGTCTGCTTTAGGAAGGGTTTCTCTGAAGAGTTACTGGTAGGGGTGTCGTCGGCTGCCGCGTAGTGTGCAGACACCCACATGTTGAATTACAAATGACTCGAGGATAGGTAACCGCCATACTTGATCCGCTTAATCTACTTGATCCGCTTGATCTGCTTCATCATTGGTCAATTCAGTGAACTGACCAATAGTGATGTGGATGAAGCAGATCTAGCGGACAACCGCTTCGCTATTGCTCAATTCACTGAATCGACCAATGACGAAGCGGATTAAGCGGATCAAGTGGATTTAGCGGATCAACTATGGCGGGTGCTATAGAATAGAAAACAAAGCAGCGACGTCTACTCCAACATGGCCAAATGGCTTCAGCCCGTTTCTGGAGCTACAGCCTTGTCAACTTACAAGTCCGTTTGTTGTTTATGTTAGTTCTTCGAACGCGGGATATATCAATTTGACACCTCCAAATTCTGAAGTGTCATGTATTGAATGTACGTGAGCAGGTCAATTTCATTGGGACGATGCTACTTTGGAATGTCCTCTCACACGACTACCAAACTTGTTGTCCTAGCAAACATTATAAAAATCATTTTTGTTATCTAACGATAATAAGTGCAGAGCGATTTGTGTATACCTGCAATGACTTCTTTCTATCTAGCTATCGTACCTTTGAGACTCGGTCTGAAAAAAATAAAATGTTTGCAGGAATCCCAATTCAAGTGTCGCGGTCAAGCGGCTCGGGTCCTCGCGAGCCGCCTCGCTCGGGCCACTCTCCGCGTTTCGCGAATACGTCTCGGGGCATTTCGCATACGGTTTTTAAAGAGCCTTGAAAACCGTATCTTTAGGAGCCAGTTGCTGACGAGCTTGGGAAAATCTGCTTGGGAAAAAAAGCTGAAAGCTTGGGAACGCTTGCCCTCCCCCCCCCCCCCCGAGGGGCCCAAGCGAGGCGACTCATTCGAACAACACCCACAGATGCACTCAGAATGGGATATCCTGTACATCACGCTAGTTTGTAAATTTGCTGTGAAAATCTTACTTAGTACACTATTTTTGAAAAACAGCCACCAATGTGTCTAAATTTGGCGGGGTCGAGTTTTCTTAACCGAAAGAACAGAGGAACGAGGACTGAACTAATAATAAGTTTCCGAGTTTGATCACTGGAATAGGGCTGTATCGTAAAATTCAGTGATTAATTGGGCAAGGTAGCTCTACATAGAGATAGAATTTTCACCACATTCTAGCACAAACTCATCTCACGAACTCAACGATTAAGGATTTTTCGAACGCCGCGTCATCACGAATAGTCCCTACGCACGGTAGCAAGTTACAGGTGTAAGTTACGGTAAACATATGACTGAGCCAAAGCGCAGACAGAGAATATTGTGACATACTGCTTTGTAACGTCATGGACTTCGGCAATACTTCGAAAATATCGTATCACATAACATTAAGCATTTTGCAATTTTCTTAGTGAGTGTAACAGTTACCTAGAAGTAACTCACTTCATAGCCAGATTAAAAAAAATAATCGAATCACATACCAATTCGTACGACTGGCTATTTGACATGCTCAAAAAGCAATTATGCATTTTTCAATGCGGGAGGATGTTCTGGTTTAGGAAAAAATGTGGTGGCAATTAGGCTTGCACCTGAGGCAATACCGCTTAGCTAGAGATGGCTTGTTCTTTGTATCAATAAAAATATGAGCGTTATAACATTTCTGAGTCTATTGAAGCGGTCATCTACACGGTGATGTAGCAGGAACGGATGAGCGCCCCAGACTGGGTCGCCAGATTTTTGAAAGTTCCTATATGAGTCATAAAATTTCGCATGACTTGCTTTACTTCTAGTGAAATGGTTTTTTCATTTAATAGAATTTCACACCAGCCTCATAAAATGTTTTCTAAGATCGTGGCTGTCGCTACGCTTTTTACAAAATTTTTTGGGTTACAAGTTCCCGGAAATTTTTAGAAGCATCCCGGAATCTCTGATGAGATCGTGGTTTTTCAAGCGCTCCTTGAATTTTTGTCGCTTTCGCACCTCTCCCTCTCGATAAATTTTATGGAAAACTGTTAGAATGCTAACGATCACGCCAAGCATAGTATTCAATTATAGTATTCAATTCGTGAGCTGTATGAAACAATTTACGCTTCCCGTACTCCTTAATGATTCACTCCTCCTTTTGCGTCCATTCGTGTAAAAATTTCTTGTACAGGACGAGGAAGAGGACATATTTTGTGACGATTATGGATTTTTAGCTGAAGAAGATTTGGCATATGAAGAATCTGAACGCAGTAAGCAATCTGAGAAACCCGTGCGGTAACTACTCACCTAGCTTTTAGATCGTCAAGTTAATGCCGAAAGACCTGACAACAATGAGCCTTGCCGGTTAGAAGATATTCTCAATCGCTTAGATGACTCGCATGAGGAATTGTGAGTGAAAGTCAATCGGCTTTACTGAATTGTTGGACGAATAATAAGGTTCTGCACTTGAGTTATTCCTTTACGACTACGGAGTCCGAGGCGATAATGTCCTTCTTTTTCTTTCCGAGCATTGCATATGACTGAAATAGTGCATACTCTTTGCATTCTCTTTTTTCTTATCGGAAAGAAACGTGGAACGAACACTATGTCTAGGCTTACAAGATTTTATTAAAGACTTATTTTACTAATCTTGTTCTTTTGCATATTCTAGCTCATAAAAATCAGTCAGTTTGCAAATGTTCAGTAATTCTTATACCATTATACATTAGATAGATAAGTTTGTCTGGTAGCTACTTGAGCTTCACTCATAATTTGTTGAAATGTAGCGGTTTTGCAGCTGTTCGACGATCAGATAACATATCTTTACAAAGAGATATACTTTGACCTGACCTTTAACCTTAACCTTTACTAATTTCAAACTGGACTGGAGAGCTCAGAAGAAGGCGATATTTGTCGAACGTAAAGTCATTAAATAAAAATCCATCACAAAAATCTGTTTGGCAGAACAACACTACACAATATTCGATGCTAGCAGTATGATAATTTCAGTGGAGAAAATGCTGGAAACGCATTTCAAGATGGTGAGTTTGGCGACGGTGACGTGCAAAAGGTATGCTAATTTAGTAGTGGAATATTCAGCTTTTTTAAGATTTTTAAGTTGATTGAATTAAAATCACAGTTGTATATGTAGGTAATGTTCAACACTGAATTCTTGACTAATAGTTCATGCCTACCAAATCATGTAATGTTCATTGCAGCTCTCCGATGGAGATGATGAAAAGGAAGTTATGGCACAACATGATAGGCTTTCATCCAGGTATGCTTTAATAAGTCATGCTTATGCACTATAGTTCTACACAATTCAGGAAGTGTGTGCAAGGGAAATATGGAATTAAGCGATATCTTCTGACGGGTGATATCGTAGAAGGCTCTACCTATCCTGTAGTGAGGGTACTTGTTGCGACTTCAAAGGGAGTGTCCGGGCAAAAAGTCGATTTTGGGATTTTGTGCTTACCCGGGCCTTCTCGCCATGTTTAATTCGAAAATCCACACTAAGAGCGTGAAAACGGCAAAAGGCTTTAACGGAGGAGGGAAATCAGCAGTCTTCCCCAGTGTAATCTTCGCTCCAAGTTTTCCGAAGCGATCTTCTAGGTTCCGGTTTCAAATCACGCGTTTGCGTTTTGGCCGGTGGCATGTCGAAGCGACTAGCGGACCCGAGAACATCGCTCCAGAAGCTAGAAGCGTAAATTCACAGTGGGAAGGACACCGCCCACCTGCTGCTTCCCTCCTGCGTTAGAGCTCTCTTCCGCCGTTTTCGCGCTCTCTATTGTGGGTTTTTGGATTGAGCACAGCGCCAGGTAAACACAAAATCTCAAAATCGACTTTTGCGCGGGCACTGCCTTCAAGCCATTTTCTCATCACAATTGGTAACATTTTTACAGAGAGGCCCCATTCTGGTTTCTACCAACCGTGCTCCGTATACTTACAAACTGGTAAGTCTTCCCACGTGCAGTATCGTCTCAGAAAGAAGTTTGATATACTTGGAGTGACATATACGGGAAAAATTCTTCTCGTAGGGATACAGTATGTGCTATATAAATTTTGATATATGGATACGGTTTTGCCCTATATGCGAAAGATTCATTGATGGAATCTTCATAGGGGTTTACCTAAGAATAGCTCAGTCCCCAATTATATCTAAATCAAGTCCTTCGGAAGGCCTGGAAGCGATAGAAACATGGAAGTCGAGAATTTGGGTGGACGGTGCCTTTGAGTTGTCCATTGATATGCATCTCCCAAACACTACTGCTGCATTGGTAGAGGAAACATTAGTCGCTCCGGAAGTTTTTTGTTTCCCTCTTCGTTCCATAATTTTCCCAGAATACTTTATCATAGACAGGTCAGGTCACAATGCAGCAGAATCAGCTGCAAAAGTAGCGTTTGATTTGCTGAAGATGACAGTCTATTATACCGCGGAAAGGTGAAAAAAATATCCATTTTGGATGGAAAATCCTCTTACCCGATTGTCGTCGAAATTCAGGATTTCACGCAAAAACCAACCATAATAAAAATTTTATTAGGGATAATGATGGAAGTTTGCCCCGCTAAGCATTAACTTTGCTCTATCAAAGTTGCCTTCTAGTTTCGCAAATAAAACATTATCAAAGATGAGGAAATTTAGTGTAATGTAAGAGCAACATGGGAATGATTTGTGTGATCAGCTAAACTCCTTGCATATACGAAGAATGCTCTATCAAACGCCTCTGAACTTTTTCTTTAGTGTTGTTTTACGAAAAATCTGATTGAACAAAACTTCGGTGTGACCTAGTAATCTCTGAACAAATGAGCTGGAGATAGCTTGAGAGTGGAGCGAAATCCGCCACTATGGGCTATCTCCGCTGACAAACGTTCCTTTAACAACGCTGTTAAATGTCGTTTGAAGCCCAGCTGTCCGCGAAGGCGGTCCAAAATGGCAGAGTTCATTCCCCTGCTAGTTTAAGAGAAATAGTCATACAACAAACACTTTAAATTGAGGATCAAACTGCACTGGCGAAAAGTTTTTTCTTGAAGTTTGGTAACTCAACTTTGTTAGTGACTGATTTTTGTGCATCTATTCGACAAGATTAGTTTGCTTCAGTATGAGTTGCCGCCACCACAAGTGCAAGACATCTACAAGAAATTGTTTACTCCTCCTCCCAGTGTGAAGTCCGGTAATATTTATCGTTTCAAGGTAAGTCACACTTTCTTAGATCATATAATCAACTATGCATTGGCGTTAGAGCAGGAGTTGCTCTCACAGGAAACAAAATAAACCTGTACTCGTGGTTCTATGTTTAGCTCATGATATATCAGGTAGTGGTACTCGCTCAGATTAATTTTCGAATAAGCGTGGCGTATGTCTATCAAAAGCTTTTCACAATGCTAGTTTGAGTTTTTCAGAAATGGAATTTTCTTGTATGCGACCACTGCTGCTTGTGCGGAAGAATACTAAAACAACCATAGTGCAGTTTTTGAAACAGTTTGGAACAACACAACCCTACCAGCTCATACGCTTTTGTAGTTATTGGTGGCCACAGCTATGCATCGATGTCTTTCCTTGCAGTCCTCATCTGACACTTGGTTCGTAACCTGGGAGGCAGAAAGACTTGCTGAGCTCACAACGTTTTCACTGATTTCTATCATATGCGGAGCATTGAACTCACGACGTCGATTGCACTGGTGTATTGGCATAGACTGTCGCCGTAGGGTGAGTAGCTCCGTCACTCATTTTTTTAGAAAAACAAAAATATTTTGTGTCCAATGGGTCCAGATAGAAGGGTGCGCAATGACTAATGAACAACGCGATACTGTTAGACAAGCTTTTGCCTACTGTACACGTTTGGGCATTGTACCACAGCTTGATCCTGACCTCGTCCAACTAAAGTTTGTTCCTGTGGAGAATCTTCACGATGACGGAAAGACTCGGCTGCTCATTACCATCACGATTGATTCCAAAGTATCTAAAGTATGTTTATTCGATTGTCAGACTAGTTGTTTCTTCATAATTTCTTCAACTTTGGGCGCTCAAAAAAAAACCTCGGACATTTTTGTGGGTAACAAAAACATTCTTGTGAAAAGGAGCAAATCATATAATTGATTGACTTTGCAGTTATATCGGCTGTCATCAGGGGAAATTTTCTACGTTTTGCGAAACGAGTTGAAACAAGTCGAAGGAGGCATGAAGGCAAGTTTAATATGCACTTGGATATCTGATCTGCCTTCTTTTCCAATTTTTTTTTCTTCGAAAAACTGATTTTGCAAGGGGCTTAAACCATGTATATCAGTTGATAAGAGTTCATTTTTCTCTAAAATGGATGATCGTGCTAACAGTAGGGTGTTCTGGCAGATACTCGCCAAAGTTATCAAAGCATTACTTACAATCTGCTTAACTTCTATATGTATTAAACCTCTATTTTTAACCCTTTAAATCGACCTACTATTCACAAACCCTCCCTCAAAGGGTAAACTTTTGCATCCATGCTTTGCGATTGGGATCAACAAAAGACCAAGCAGTTTTCAAATGCATTTTCTAGGTAATTTTCATTGAAGGAGACTGAAAAGTACAATAAACACTTTGCGGAAGACAATTTAAGTTTTAACAATTCTCGGTCTTCTAAAAGCATATCCTAACGAATCGCAGTGACAGATTGTGAGTTGACTTGACTCTATATATATGTAGTCTACTTACTCACAGGTCTCTCGCTTGCTGAGCTTCAAAGAAAATAATGATTTGTGTGTGATCTCTGGATTGGATCCAAAAGGTTATTTGAGGTAGCATTTCCTGCGTGATCATGACTATTTTCTAGCACAAAGTAACTTCAGGTACAAACTCAAAACAAACTCTGTTTATGGACTCATAAAAATTCCTCTCCTTTTTCTCTTGGTAGTGTGTGTTGCTTACTGCGTTACTGTTATGTGCTTATCTTAAAATGAAAAATCTGAATGTTATTCATACCCATCTCAATGATTACTGTAAATGCAACTTCATTAAGGTCCGTTTAGTGTTTTCATCCCTTTTACAGGACAATTTGCAACGGAATTGAATTTTGTTTTTTGCTATTCATTAAATTATCTCAGGATTATTTTGCGCAATAAAGCTACACCGCTATTTCATTGTTTGTGACTTCCCTTTTTGGATGTTCCAGTGTACAGACATTCGACTTCCAAGTTCCGGACAGTTCAAAAGCTAAGTAGGATGACACATAAGTTCTGCAACTAACTGTGCGACTTTTCTTTTTTTGAATGTGACGCAGTAGCAGACTACGAATGTGCGCAAACAGTTTGATTCTTGTCTCGCATTTTTCAAAAGCTGGTCAAATTCAGAATTTTAAGGTCAGAAAACCAATACAGCCGTTCTCAGTCCGAATCAAATACATCAAGCCGAAGCCGAAGCTTTAGTTCTCCAACCCTTGAGATTTCGAAGTTGACCAGCATTCTAAAATTGCGCAAATTTTCTCCACTTTGCTATCAAAAACCAAATTGTTTGAGCACATTTGTAGCCTACTACCTAATCTACACCCTAATGACTTCATGGAGCTGCATTATACCACACCAGCGTAAATTTAACCATTTCAGTGATTGATGTAGTTCTAAATAGAAATATAACGTCTTTTCCGATAAGCTTTGTATCCTATCTAAAGGAAGTAGATAACACTTGCGATTAGCCGAAAAATTCTCATCTCAAAGCTTTGGGAAAGTAGGTAATCATAAAATCTTTAACTGAAAGCTAATCTTGGAAGCCCGTGTGAGGTCTGAAGTTCTTTTCTAGTAGCAGGACACTTGTAGATTAGCGTGAAGGCAAAACTGATGATCCGTTCTCGTATGATTGTTGACACAACACCTTCGTTTTAATGAAAAACAATATTCATGATCATCTAAATCACAAAATCGAACACCATCCCTTCTGGGGTTTGTCTTTCTCCCCGGCATTAGTGGCTTTCAAATCGGCGATCTTGGGTGTAACAATTCTGAATGATACTTTTGCACCTATGTTCGTTAGATCTTGACGCACCTTCCAAAGTAAACCGGCATTTTCTTCTTACTGTCATAGACTATGACTGTAAATGGGCAACTAATAAGCGCCGTGTTGTATACTGGTGACTGCAGATTCATTTTCTGGCTGAATTACCGTGCTTATTCGTAAAAATTATTACTTTTGGAATCTCACATATTGGATGTATCCGGCTGATTGAACACAGTAACCATGTCGAAGTGTTGAATGCTAGACGTGAGTTTTTTGCTGTATTCTGCGCTGGCCTGAAAGAGTGAAAATTTTCGAATACTGTTGTATGTATATCGAAAATACAATGGAATTCACATCGAAATTTACGGATCTCTTTGGCGAACATAAAATTATTTGATTGATTTTCCGTTCAACGCCTTTTAGTTAAAGGTAACCTCGAGTTGTTGAAACCTCATACTTCAACCTCGAATAATTTAGTAGATTATTTAGTCGAATGCGAATCATTCAATGAGTCAAATACTCGACTAGATTTCGAACAAGATTCGAAATTAGAAATTTGAGGTAATTGATTCAAATTTGATTGGTTGGACATGCTAGTCGCATAGACTTTGGATGGAATCAAATAATCAGTCGGCAAACAAAAAAAAAAACCAAAAGCTGCGATTTTCGATTATCCATCGGTAGTCAAATCGAATTCGCTGGGTATAGAATGGAAGCTTATGGAGAAAGTTTAGCCAAAAAGGTGGTTTATGAGTTTCTGGTAGGAATCTGAGCGGGTATAACAAAACTTCTCTTTACTTCAACGTCCTCCATAGCGAAGTCACCGAAACCTCCATGTGAAAACAACGGCTCGGCATCGAGTGAACTCTGCAAATGTCACTTTGTACAAGATCTGGTATGAGCAAATATAATATCGCCACATTTCTGTAAGAAAAGACACGATGGTTTAATTTCCCAATATTCGCATCATATCGGCCTTATCTGGACGTCTTTCTTTGCAGTGAGCAAGTCCCATCAAGAAGTTTGCCAAGAAATGATCTCTGATGCCTGTTAGGAACTTTCTGGAGGAAGTTAATACGAAATTCAAGAGAAGTGAGCAAATTCAGATCCTACCTTACCTCCGCATTCCGAGAGAATACGGTAATGATTTGAAAAATGAGCTTTGAAGAAAGGAGTTCATGTCTTTTTTCAGTACAAGATTTGCTTACTCTAGCGGATGAAAGTTTTGAGATATCTGATATTTTTTGCAGACACAGGCGGTTGTTACATACTTTACATTGTAATGTCGGATATGCTCTAAAGTCTATCTACACAAGCAGTGCATACTTTGATCCCTTTGGCAACGTTGGACGATTTGTTGAACGACCACCACAGCGGAATATAAGCCGTATGTGTCTCTGGTGTTGTCTAAATTATGCATTAAAAATCAAGTAATTCAAAAAACTTCGCTAACCTCTTGTGCTTCTCTGATTAGATTGAGTAATTGAGACCCATTTACAGATCGTTCTAGATCGGTTATGAAGTAGAGAAAAATGTTAGAGGAATTTGTTGGAATTTCTAGCAATCCAGTGTTGCCTTAAAAAAGGATTGCTGAAAAGTGAATAGAATGCACTTTTGTGAATAGCATATTGTATGAGAAGTCAATGGTGACAGCTATCGAGACATCTTTGGTTCGCAGCTAAAACTTAAGGATTGCAAATTAAAATCATAGGCATTACAACAGCTCTAGGTTTACCAATTTGGTGAAAGTGTTATTGCAGTGTTTTTTGGTATTATGATGAAAAAGCTCATAACATATACATCTATACTTGGTCGTTCCTTAGCATTTTTTCTTGCTAGAAAGCTATCTTACTGTCAGCTCAAACTACCTTCATTCTCGCCACAATAAACTGGGTAACCTATAAGTAGGTACACACTTTCAAATCGTTAATAACTCTCTTCCAAAAGTGTGCCAATCGGTAGAGCAGGCTCCAACTTAGATTCACAGTATTGAGCAAATCACCCATCTCTCTTCACTACTGTAAAATTACGGTAGGAACTTCGAAAAGTATTGTGCCATTAATAGCTACATTTTGCTTTGGGATGATATCCAACAAGCTGAAAACTTCATCATTAGGCTAAACTAAGTCGCTGATTATGAACTTGAAATTCACACTCTATCATAAGACTTTTTTCATAACTTATGCCAGGGAAGCCGCGATAACGTTTGTTCAGTGTTTTTCAAATGTGATTACATTACTGAAACGCATTAAAAACTCGTGAAAAGTTGTCTACTGAAACCAGCAGTCCGAAAACACCCGATCACGGCTTTGCAGGATTTTTTTTGGAAGTTTTTGTTCGAAATGCCTATTTCACAACGGCGCTGTATGCTGGAGGTTCCTGCCGTAATCCTACAGTACTGAAGAGCGATGGATGATCGCCTCATAGTGCAAATCTAAGTTGAAGCTTACCCTGTACTTGAAGCCAAGCAGAAGGCTTTGTGGAAAGAGAGTTATTAACGATTAAAAAGTGTGTACTTACTTTTGGGACACCCGTATTTTCCATATCTTCTACTGCCATGGGGTAACGTAACCTTGAGTCGCGAAGTAGTCAAAAAATTTTATGATAGGACTCACCAGCGCTACAGTGTCTCATTTTTGGCTTGTCACTATGAAAACGCACATACATTTCTTCTCCTTTTGTCTAAATGAAGAAGACGAAGCATCCATTTTGGGGATAACTTTTTTTTTCAGCATGTATCAGAGTAGTAACCATGTAAAGAAAAAACCTTGTAAAAACCATGTAACCATGTAAAGAGCAGACGGTAGCAAAGTTACTTATGGCTGGGTAAATTAGCATTATTGTTCACCAACAATAATTTCCTTTTCGCAATGCAAAAAGTACCGTTACGTGAACTAGTGCGTGTCGATTTTATATAAGTCTAAAATCTCAATTCAAAACCCGTAAAAAAATGAAAAAGACTAGAAGTATCTGGCTGCTGCATAACTTCTGTTCGATTTGAATTTTCGAATTTAAAATATTATAACTTCTTTCGATATCAGCTTATTATAGTCTTAGCTTCGAATTTTATTTTTTTTAGCAATTAGAAAAACACTGGTTCTTGCGAAGAACTCTGTTAAAAAAGCAAGAACTAAAGATCTCCACAGCGTTCTTGTTCAACACTGTCCATATCATATGCCCGTTATGAGAAATGACAGACATATTAAGTAGCCATGGGTGGATAAAGAAAATTTGAAGATTATTTTACGGCCTAAAAGTGATTTTGACCGAGTAAAAACGAAGCGTTTTTCAACCTCGTTTCAGTATGTGTATATGCCAACTTTAAAATTATGAAAATTTTACATCTGCAGCGAGGGCTGAAAACTAAGTGACAGCTGGGCTTTGCCAGCTCTTGCTTTAATCTAGCATCTCCAACGTTCGATTTATCGACTGCCTCTATTTACGGAAAGGTATTGCTTGTAAAACTTTTGTACAAAAAATTATTCTTTATCAATATACAAATTCTTACTAGCAAGACGTTTTTTCTACAAAAAGGGTAATTCGGACTCGCCGGACTAGCCCCTTTTTTACATTATGACTGAAACTAGTCCATAATGGCGAGGTTTAACGGCACGTTTCATCTGTTTCATCTTTTTCTCTTTCTTTCAGAAGGTCATTTCTTACTTCTGGACTCTTTCTAGCTACATTATTTATACGATATGTGTGCTGTTAAACACCTTTTATAAATCTTAACAATAACTATTCACTTCGGACTTACTTCAGGTGAGCCGGACATGGTAAAGACCGCTTCGGACTCGAACATTCCCGATTTGAAAGCAATCTGAGCACGTTTATTGGCAAAAACTAGCATATAGTCGTTAAAGATGCACAGAAGAAAATAGTTGAAGAAGCTTACTTGATAGTGACTGGCCCAAGCAAAAATAGGACATCTTTGGTTCGATTTTGTCATAATCAGATCTCTACTAACTGCACTCTCTCTTACTACCTGGAATAAGGGAAACTCATAGAATCGGTGGCTGTTGGCAATTGATTCTTGCTTGATCTTGACTTTCCCCTAGTCTCGAGGAGACAGCGTAAGCTTTATTGGACTTATTCGTTTTTTGAGTGACTGAGTATGTTTTTTTTTTGAATGAATGAGTATGTGTTGATCATGGCGGTACTTGTTAGGGCTAGCATTTACACAGAAGGCGAGCTTTTTGAGCTCCGAAAATTTCCTAAGCCCTAGCGCAGGATCTTGTTGTGAGCTATTGGTCAATGCCTCCCATCCACTCACAACTATGAAGGCATGAGAGTTCTACTCTTACTTTGACTGCTTCGGTGCTCCTCCACAATTCAAATGGACAAGCAGCAATGAAGCCCGCCTTAAGTAAAAGAGTAATAGTATCATATATTGGATATTTTGTTCACGACTAACCCTAAGACTTTTCTGTATCCATTGTACTATTTCAGCTGTACCGTCGAAAATTTTGACTTCTACTCCAAGATTGTTGAGCGTTATGAATGTGTTGTACGAATACGATTTAGTGAACTTTGGATGGACAATCATTCGGCGTGCAGTTGCGAATATACCTAGATGCTCACTTGAACAAGAGGAAACAATTTTTGATGTGAGCTGTCTGAAGGCAGTGGCTCTTGGCATCGAAACTTTCCGTTCATTAGTTCCGTCGAAACGTCGAAAAAAACCGTCACCATTTTGCAAATGATCAGTTTTTCGTGATTTTGGACAAGGAAAATGATGAATAAGCGTACGCTAAAACTCACTCTTCCAAAGAGCAAATAAATGCTGAAACCTATCAGTTAATAACCGCCTGTGAATGCATAGTTACTCCTACTAAGTATTCACAATGAACTGTTACGGCCAAAGAGCGAGAAGATCTCATCTAGAGCTCATCGGCCTTCCGATTCTGAAATCAGCTTCCGTAGATATAAATTCAGGTGATGCTATCTATAATGTCCATAAAAGGACACTAACCGAACCACTAAGATTCGGTTATAGAGTACGCACTCGGTACACGAACCTTCCGAGTACGTATCATTCTCTACACACTGCGAAATGTGCGATAGCGCACATTGCCTTGGCATGATAGTTTCCCATGTTCCCTGTTAGGCATATCGGTAGATTTCCCATGCGCAATAAAATTTGTTCGTATTCTCTTACTTTTATAAGTCACTGATGCAGTTTAGCAAGATTTTGCATTTTTTATTCTTTACTTGTTATTCTTCACAGGGTGCACCAAAATTACCCGCGCCATTGCAACACTGCCACTAAAAAATTCGTCGAGGAATATAAGCTTAAATTTGAGTCATAAAAACCTTAGTCAAGCACTACAAGAAACATTTTACAGAATTCGAAAAGACCTCTATTAGAATGTTATTGAGAAAACAGATTAACAGTTTCGAAAGCAAAAATGAGATTTCTATACCATCATATTTTGCTCTGCTGCTGAATGAACTCTAAGACCTTTTGAGCCATTCTAGGGAGAGGTTGTAGAGCACATTTTGCACTATCACACTATCCTAGTTGCATTCACAAGAGTTTGTTCTTTTACGAGATACGAAAATGTATTTGCGAAAACATACCTGCGTACGAGCAACGGCCTTATGTTCAAAATCGACTGTGAAACTCCAGACATACAAAACCTTCGTGAAAACCATTTCTCAATTTATGAGACATGTAGACGAGCAACTATCACCACCGTTTCGTTAGGATGGTTTTGAAGCTGATTTAGAAGACATTTTCTGATTCTCCGGCGCACTCATCAAGACCAAAATACCACTGATTTTTATTATGCTGTCTCAAAGCATGTCTCTGAAAATTGAAAATCCAACTTCGATTAAACTCTCAAATTTCCGCTTTTGACAGTGTTAGAGGCAATGACTTGCTCTGCTTTGATGCGCACTTTGGGAGTAAGAGAAAAGATTTTCAAGAAAATATCGTTTAAATTCTCAAAGTTGTGCTTGCCTACGGACACACTTCTGCTTTTGAGATCTGAGATTTTTTCCATTTATGAGGCAACCGAATTCTGATTTAAATATTGCATTATGAGACGATGGCTGGTAAAAACAAATGCATGCTTGAACCGCCATCAAGCCGCCACGTGTGCTTCTAGAAGTCAAGAAAACGCGCCGGTGATTTTGGCGCACCCTGTGTAGTCATTGTTTTGTATTCATTGTATTGTTGCACAGTTGCTCCCACTAGATCAACGTATCTCATCTCATAGTTCTCATGTATTTGCATCACTCGTAAATTTTAGTGGTGTTATGATAAATTTCAATTACCAAGTCTGAAGTAGCGCTGTGCCCACTTGCAACACCAGAAGTTCTGGGTAGTAACATTCACAGTATTGAACTACCTTACACCCGGCACTTTCAGTTTGATAAGATTAAAATACCCAGGTTTAGAATTCTACTGAACCACTGCCTTCGCAATGAGGGAGAGAAAACGTAGTAGCAACAAATAGTGATAAAAGATATCACCTGGCCGCGAACCAGAATGAAGAGCAGCTTCCCACTGACGAAGTTCGTCACCAATGAGATTCATGACTATGCGAATCTAGAAAAGGGAACGACAAGTTCATGAGTGAAATGTATACCCACAAGACAGGTGCTGTAAGTTTTCAAATGAAAACACATACTTTTGTCAAATCATGCTAAAGATCAAGGGTAGGCAGAGATTTACGAAACATGACTTGAAAAACTCCCCTAATTTACCCTAATGCGTGGGGGATTTTTTTCCAAAATCGACAGCCCAGACAAGCCAAAGGACTTTACAACCAAAGGACCCTATAAGGTATAGGTGTATATTGCTTGAGAGAATTGTGCGATGCAAAGATTTCTTTTTGGAATACAGTGAAGCGGCTGACTCGCTTGAAAATCGAAAAAGTGCGCATTATACGCGTGAAATTAGGGTAGTTCAAATAATCTTACTTACCGTTATAATATTCATTCCCGCACCCGCAGTTTCACTGAGTAACTCGCGTCGGAGAGATTCACTTGGCTGTAATAAAAAACCCGAACATCACGTTAGGTCGTCCGAAACGTTGATGGAGGTTCCTTACGTGATTACAGCAGTGTAGATCAAAAATGTAGGAAACGTATCATTCGATAGAGCAAAGCAAGCTCCACAACGCTGCATTTGAAAGGTTGCAAAAACTTTGATCCATTTAAAGTTTGGAATAATAAGACTCAACTATAATGCATTCGAAAAATCGTGACGATGGCAGCGCGCGACACGCACGCCACTTCCAGCAACCGCATTTTCTTGACGTTCGTCTCTGCTCGAATGGTGTTTCTGCTTACGTATGATAGTATTCTGACACTGGAAGTGACTGAGCTGGGTGTTGGGATGATGTCTTTTCGCATGTATTTTATGCTCCTGTAGGCGAAAATCGCAGAAATCCGTCGTCACGATTTTATAAATGACCCATACCAAAAATCGGATTTCTGTCCAAAAAATCCTGCGCACCTCCAACTTGGTAACGCAAATGTTTCCCACACATCAGAAATTCACAGGTACTGCTGCATTTTTACAATGGCTGAAAACTGAGAACTGAAAATAGGCTAACAATCTAAGAATCTAGCCTTTTTGAGTTTTTTTTGCCAAAACCATTTTTTTTAGAAACTAGTCCTGCAGAAAGCTGAAAATCTACGGTTGTATTATTGGGTCTCAGACTCGTGTGGAGACAATTGCCGACTTTCGCTGAATACAAGGGTAGACTAATAAAACCACCTTATACAGTAACTTTACATATAAATTTGCGTTGTTTTTCGTACTCTTCCATTAAGCTTATCCTTATAATCAGGGAAGTTCGCAACCCGTCTCCACACAAATCTAGGATCCGATCATACTTCTAAAGGTTTGAGTTATAAAATTATCTATGTGCCAGCCCAGCATTGCATTTGCTAGAACATGGCAACTTTTATTTCCACAACTTCCAACCGTTATACAGTAAATGTACATATAAATTTCTGATGTAGGGAGTATATACGGGACCAAGTTGAAAGTCCTCAAGTTTTTTCTGGACGGAAGTCCGAATGTTGCCAATAGATTTGTTTTTTTCCTCTCAAACGCACATGGATTGAGCTTTTTATGGTTGCTCAAATGGATTTTGTAGAGCTTGCTTTGCTCTATTGAATGTGCCCTCAGATTTTTATATTTTTGCTGCTGCCATCGCCTAAGGAACCTGCAGTAATTTCTGGACAACTTAACAAATAAATAGAAAGGACAGAATATGCTTGTAATTTGCGGTATATAGGGTATGCCATCAGAAATTACAACTTATGTAGCATGCATGCACAGCAAAAAAGATTAGTGTTGGAAGCAGATCAATTTTCTTTGAAACTATCAACATTCAAATGCTTCGCACTTCCCGCTTACTCTACAGCTGGAAGTTGACGACGTTGATTAAACCTTGCCCCGCTAAGTGTAAATGCTCCGCAGACAAGACAGGCGAGGTTGGAAATCAGTTGAGGTACGCAGAGCCATGTGTTCGCCATCGGCCAGTTACCTTCTTCGGTGGCCATTCGCACTTCCTCACGTGTGATTGCACTAAAGAAAATCCCTTAAGAGAGGTGAAGATAAATCGACTAAGTTAAGAAAGCTTCCTACTCGAAAACTTGATACGACAGTTGGTTCCAAGTTTCCCAAACTTTGGGACCAATAGACATTTCAGGAAAGATTCTTCCATTTTTTTCTTTGCTGACTGAAATAAATGCATTTTTAAAACATGATCTCCCCCCTCATGGTCTGCTGCCTCAACGTGGAGAGGGGGTGCCCCTGGGTGTAGCAAGAAGGTCCGAACTCGCAAGTCAGCCCAGCTAAAGTAGACCGCCCCAGGTCAACATGTCAGGATTCGTTGCCACCTGCCTGACAACGCGTGCTGAAGTCGCCAGGAGGCAAAAACCGTCAAGTGTCAACCAGGGAGCGGCGACTGTTTCGACACACCCCTAGAACGCTTCAGCCAGGCTATCTAGGGAGGCGGTAAATCCAACGTCTTGTACAACTTTAAACCAGTCGCCCCAGTACCCTGCACACTGTTCGTCTGCCGCTTGGGACGTCGGATGGCAGTACGGCCGGTGAGGGGCGAAGATATCTCAGATGCAAAAGCGAGACGTTCATTGATCCTATCGGCGACAAAGCGAATTCGACAGGGTACGGAGGTTGTTTTCGATTGTGCACATACAATTCAAGGACTTTAGCTTCATCCCACGAGCTCTTCGTTCTCCTAGACGCCGCAAGCCGCATTAAATACGATGTGATTGCTTTACGGGAAACAAAGATCAGAAGCTCGACTACGCTCAGAAGGAAGAATGGAACTCTTATCATACTAGGAGAGAAGGTTCCAACACGTAACATCGGAGGCGTGGGATTTGTCGTACACCAATCCGTTAGCCACCTCGTCGACTCTTATGAATTCCTGTTGCCGCGATTAGCAGTTCTAAGACTTGTTGCTCCAGGTCAGAAGAAGATCAGTATTATCAACTGTTACTCACCCACATATGCAGCAGATGAATCCGAACTCGACAAGTTCTATGAGAAGCTGGAAGACGCCATTCGCAAGGAGAACTCGTTCTACAAGTTCATCGTTGGCAACTTCAATGCAAGGATAGGACAGTCGCAACACCAACAAGGCGACAGAATTGGAAAATTTGGATTGGGAAGTCGAAACGAGAATGGAGACAGACTGGTCGGACTCATAGAAGCGGCCCGTCTATTCCATGGGAATTCTTTTTACCAGAAGAAAGAGCACCGCCGCTGGACTTGGGGGTCAACAAATGGAATGGCACATGCAGAAATCGATCATATTCTCGTCAACAGGAAATGGAGTCTGATCGATGTCGGAGTGGTTCCATCGTTCTGTACAGGTTCGGACCACCGTTTACTCTTCCTGCAAAGATCTGCTTCAACCGGAAAATGGAAGGAATATCTTGCCATTGCGCGAAGTCTAGAAGAGAAGCCGTTTACGACGAGCGCATTCTCGAGAACGCCATTTTCAGATATGATTGGAACGAATGTGAAGATCCAACAGAAGATCTAGAAAAGCTGATTGAAGGACTACGCAGCTGTGCAGAGCAGGCAATTCTTACTGTGAAAAGAGGCTCGGGACGGTTGACGAACAACACCAAGGAGCTTCTTCAGAAAAAGAGAATCCTGCACGCAGATCCAAGTGTATCGCATCTAGAGCAAGTACTGTTCAACGGCATTTGCAGGAAAGCCGTACAAGAGGACCTGAAGCGATTTCGACAAATGAAGATATTGGAAGCAGCACAGAACAGTAGAAGTCTGAAGAGGTGTCGTAGCTCAGATAATTGCGGGGGGCAGGCGGGCACCGGAAAAATAGATTGCTGATTTCTCGCACCCCGCTCGTGGATTTTTTGCAAAGCAATCGGAACTTTTCGGAAGACCGCTCGCTGAGTCAGCGGATTTTTGAGAGACCGCCTGTTGAATTTTTTTCGCTCTTATCTTTTGCAGATATATTGCTGAATCTCTGAGGAATCGAGAATTCAGCAAGCGGTCTTCCGAAAAGTCCTGATTGCTTTGCAAAAAATCCACGAGCGGGGTGCGAGAGATCAGCAAACTATTTTTCCGGTGCCCGCCTGCCCCGGCGATTATCTGAGAGGGACCTTCGCGAGCATGAGATACCGATGCAAGCTCTACTGAATAAGGACGGAAGACTAGTGAACTCCCGAGGCGAAATGGAAGCGATAACAAGGGACTTCTATAACGAACTTTTTCGATCCACTACGCCGGTACCAGACCCTATCATCCCCACCGGTGAGCAGCCTCAGAGTATTCTTCCTTCGGAAGTACGCTAGGCTATAGAGTGCATGAAACCAGGCACAGCTCCTGGTCCTGACGGAATCACCGCCAACTTCCTGAGAGCAGGCGGACACAAGTTACACACACTACTGGCAGCTCATATAACACGCTACCTGGAGAAGGAGAGGTTACCCAACCAGTGGAGGACATCCCGCACTATTCTTCTTCACAAGAAAAGCGGAAGAGAAGACCTTAAGAATTACCAACCGATCAGCTTGCTAAGTGTGTTTACAAGCTGTTCACGAAGATCATCATGTCGCGTATTTCAAGGGCATTGGATGAAGCACAACCAACTGAGCAAGCCGGATTCCGTAGAAGATTCAACTGCGTCGTTCACATCCAAACCGTCTCAAGGATAGTGGAGGTCTGCCGTGAATATCAACTGCCCCTACTCCTCATCTTCGTTGATTACGAAAAGGCCTTCGATAGTGTGGAAATCAACGCCGTTTTAAATGCTTTGATCGACCAAGGCGTGGACCCAACATACATAAGGACTACAGCGGACTGCAACAAAAAATGTACCAGCACGATACAGCTGTTTGACCACCCGCTCCACATCCGTATCGAGAAAGGAGTCCAACAAGGCGACACGTTGTCGCCAAAGCTGTTTACCGCGGTATTGCAATGGTGCATGCAGTCGCTCGACTGGGAAACGAAGGGTATTTGCGTGGATGGAAGGTACCTTTCGAATCTCCGTTTCGCAGCGCAGACGATATCGTTTTGTTTTCGAAGTCTGTGAACGAAGCCGAAGAGATGTTGAACGAATTGAACGAATGCGGAAGAAGGATTGGGCTGGATAAATTGAAAGAAGGCGCAGTTCATGAGAAACACCTGGTGCAGTGAAGTTCAACTATTCTTGGATGGAGCGCCGATAGAGGAGACTTCATCTTACGTTTACCTTGGACGCGCCATCAATATGAACAACGACATGAAGGATGAACTCAGCCGAAGACAGAGAGTAGCTTGGGCAGCATTCGGTCCTCTGAGAGAGGCTACAGACAACCTTGCTGATCCAGAATTGCGCGCTCATCTTTTAAATGCGACAGTTCTCCCGGCCTTGTGTTACGCAGCCGAAACCCAGGCTGATACCTCAGCAACCGTGAAGGCATTAAGAACGGCACACAGAGCACTCGAAAGAAAACTTCTGAAGATGACCAAGTTCAGACAGTATCGAGCTCCGACCTCAGACAACAATCGCGTCTAGAAGATCCAGGATCCAGCAGAGTACGTACCAAAGATTAAGTACAGATGGGCCGGTCATGTATTGAGAAGGGAAGACGACAGACGACAGAAAGGTCGATAGAATGGATTCAAGATCCTTGAAACGTCCACGCGGAAGACCACGGAAGAGATAGTGTGACGAATTTGTTGCCCGTGTAAACCAACTGCGCCAGCAGTTGGAGTCGTCTAATTCAGGATCGTTCAGCAGCAATCGCAACCGCGCACCATGACGATCATCAACGACGATTGCACGAAACCGTAACGAATGGTCAAAAGTTGGGGCCTGCGCGACGTGTGAGGACGGGCCATCTAAGTAATCTAAGTAAGTACAGTTTGCCCCAATCCTAACCAGGCCAAAACTGGCATGGCGGGAGTCCGCGTCGCGAGGGTTTCGCGCCACTTCCGCGGCTAGCTAGTGTGCTCTCTCCTCAATCTCTTCGCTCTCTGCGACAGCGCGCGTGTGCAGCGCAAACCCTTAGCGCTGCGAGCGCGCGATCTTAGCCGATGGTTCGGCCTCCCGTTGGGGCAGACTATAGGTAACACGATCTCATGCTCTACGTGCCGCCTAGAAACCATTTTGAGAAATAATTGCTTAACGAACCTAAAGTGCAATATTAAAAGCTGCCCTACGATCCTATCATATTTAAGAAATACTGCCTTAAGAGCCAATGACAGACCGGTAATCATTAGAAAAACTCTTCATAAAAAGAGAGTCGCTTACCAGGCCAAGATTATCCTACAGGTTCACTACAAACCAATACTTCTTAGGAAAAAGACTTTCCTACGAGCCCCACAGGAATTTTTAAAAACCGCTGGCCTTTGACCCCCTCCACAAACCAATACTCTAGGATACAACTGCTCTAGGCGGGCCGCCTACAAACCGATACTGGGAAAGGGAAAGGCCCTGAGCTGCTTACAGACCGATTTTTCAGAGAAGAACTACACTACGAGCTTCCTATAGGACAATGCAAAAAAACTGCCCTACAGGCTGCTTACATATCGATTGAGGAAGAAGTGCCATACTAACACTTAAACCAATATTCTGAGAAAAACTGCCCTAGGAGCCGCCTCATATAATTTTAAAAAAGTGAGAAGCCGCCCTACGCGCCTTCAGCAGACCCATCGCTGAAATGATGTGTCTTGTGGGTCGCTTACAGACCGATAATCTGTGAACTACTCTTCTACGAGCCTCCTATAAACCGTGTTTATAAAAAACAAACTGCCCCATGAGTAGCTCACCTACATGCAGATAATCATGAAAAGAGAGTGCCCTATAAACCTCTTTTAGACCAATTTTTGAGCAAAGATGCCTCGCTACTGGTCCTGAACTGGTTGTGTGTGTGAAGTAGGACGTGACTAAAACCAGAAACTTCGAAAATTTTGTGGGAGCTTTTTTCCTAAATCTTTGCATTGGTGTCCAAAATCTCTTCTGTTTTATATGGAGATTTCGAAAATTCCCTAACAAAAATGTAATGATATAGAATATTGACAAAATATTAAGTGCTTCCTCCCGGCTTCCTCGGTTTCGGTTCTTTGGTTCCCCCATAGAAACTGCTTTCTCCCAGCTTCTTCATCTGCGCCTTCCTCCTATGCTCCTTACAGGATACTCAACTTCTGTATATTATAATAGGTTGTCCCATAAGTCTTTTCATTTTTGA